CCACCACGCCTGGCTAATTTTTTTGTATTTTTCGTAGAGACAGGGTTTCACCATGTTAGCCAGGCTGGACTCAAACTCCTGACCTCAGGTCATCTGCCCACCTCAACCTCCCAAAGTGCTAGGATTACAGGTGTGAGCCACCGCGTCCGACCTGGTTTATTCTTAAGTTGTCTTGAAAAACCTGGGTCCTAGGGGTAGTGGCTAGAAGCCTTGCTTCAGTTGTCAAGGACTGACTTGACAACAAGCCCAGGCCTGCAGATTGACATTTCGCAAAACCTGGGATCCAGCAAACCTGCTGCATGTTGGGTGGGAAGGTGCTCTCAGCATCCAGCCTACACATGCACCTGTGGTACCTGTTGGAGGAGGTTCTCCCAGGTAAAATTTTCAGTGCCTCTACCTGCTAGAAAGAATTTATTGAGAATAAAAAGTCATTTGGTGCAGAGTTCTTGAATCTATTATGTAAAAGGCCTGGTTCATTGAAGTGGTTCCAGAAATCCTTTGTAAATTATAAGCACAACAATTATTGGTAATTGGATGATGCTTAAGGCTAGCCTGCTTAAGATCAAATTAATGCTACACTTGTATATTTCATTGGGCTGGAAGTTTACTTTGAGACTATATAATCAGTGGATGATATAAGAAAATGCTTGCTTTAGTACTTAGAATTTAAAATTATACTGATTTATAATTGAGTATGTGGTTGCATTTTCGTTTACGCCCTTTTCATTTGTGTTAATATATTTTTCTTGTTGGATCCCAAGGAACAAACTTTTATGTATATAACCCTAATTCCATTGAAAATGTGATCTGCTGAGGGATCATTGTTGTATAATGTGATTCTGATTCCACAGGGATATTTTTATTAGTGTTAACATATAGCACAAATAAGGGTTATAAAAGTGTTCCATAATCTTTGGGATTGGCTTTATAAAAAATGTATTTGTTGAAAATTCTGATTTTTGTAAAAAGCTTTTAATCTGCCGAGGCATCTAGTTTTATATATATTTAAGGCAGACACATGAGTTTCATTTCAAAATATTAATCAATATGCTTGTTTGTTATTAGATGGAATAATTTTTGTTCTAGTTCAGGATCTCTGACCTTATTGGAAGATTTAAAGTTGTTCGTGTAACAGTACATTAAGACCTATGATTATAAATTTAAAGTCATGCCTAGAAATGTTTGCCCATATTGAAGATGGACATCAGAGGTGAAACTGACAGCTAGTCTTGAGTCAACCTGCACCAGCCTTCCCAGGATTTTTCTATCCGTGGTGCCATGGGCTATAACTTTAAAATAGGCAAGTCAATTCAGGGTGGTGGTTCAAATCCTATTGGAACCATGTTGCTTGAGTTTACATGGTATCTGTTTAAAAGAGAATATCTGAATTTTTCTTAGACAAACTATACGAAACAAATTCTGTAGTTATTAGTTCTTCAAGGTCCCTATGCACATTTGCCTCCTACCTCTTGCTCATCTTAACCCTTGTCTCATGATTTTAGGGGACTGAGGTACTTCTGTGTTTCTCTCGAGCAAGCTCTTTTTTTTTTTTTTTTTTTTTTTTGACGGGGTCACAGTCTGTCACCCAGGCTGAATTGCAGTGGTGTACTCACGCTCACTGCAGCCTTGACCTTCTGGGCTCCAGCAGTCCTCTCACCTCAGTCTCCTGTGTAGCTGGGACTACAGGCGTGTGCACCACCATGTCCAGCTAATCTTTTTTTGTAGAGACAGAGTCTCACTGTGTTGCCTAGGCTGGTCCCAAACTGCGCTCAAGTGATCCTCTTGCTTCGGCCTCTAAAAGTGCTGAGATTACAGGCATGAGCCACTGTGCCTGGCCATGTTTCTCTTTTTATTGGCAGTTTCTTTGTTCCAGGAAGAGCTATATTTTCTGTTTCTTGTCTTTGTTCAGGAACTCCATGCTCTGCTTCTGTTGCATGTCACCTGAGAGGTGACAGAACAAAGCAAGCAGCAGAACTGTTTGTTTTAGCACTGTCTTTGGGGGACGATAAAAACTGTGAGTCTTTAGCAAACAGAGTTAGATCTCAGAATGGCTTGGTATTTTCCAAATGGGTTAGTGTAACCCAGTGACCTTACTTGAGTTCTGGTAATGACAGCTTTACCATCAAATTTTCCTTAGGGTATAGCCCTTGAGAGGAAATTGCCTCCTAAAATTGAGAGCTCTGATAGGCTTTATTACTAGTTCAATCTGTAGTCTTAAAGGAAGTACCTAAAGCTACTGACAGTGTTAGACCATCTGTCAAAATATGGATATTTTCCTGCAAGCCAATGAGAGCCTTACCTTAGATTAACATTCTGTGACAAACGCTGCTTGGTGGGCAAGAGATTTTTCAATGTTAAATTGCATCCTTTATTGTTTTAGTTTACCTCAGGGCAGAGGCATAATGCTGAGAAAAATAAAAGAAGGGTTCTTTCAAATAAAAATGGCAGCAGTTGAAAACATATTGGAGGAAAACAGGGCTACTATATTTAAAAAGCTATGCAAATAGTTTAAAGGTTTGAAGACAAGTTTGTCATCTCCCAATAACTAGTAGATACTGTTAAAGCTTAGTGTTCATAACTATTTTTAGGGCAAGGATGATATGTTAGCTATAGATCTTGCCTACCACTCTCATAGTACCTGCAGATAGAAGACAGCACAGCATGCTTATTGAATGAAAGCCTTAGGCGCAGATGTACATGCTTTGCTATATTTTTCCTACTAAGCGATGCTTGTTCCATTGGGTTCTTTTTTTGTCAAAAGTGCTGGGAACTCTTCTTGTTCTCTATTCATTCATCTTAGTTGTTTTAATTGCTGCTTGGTCTTGCAGAACCTGAGTTTTAAAGAGCTGGCTAAATATAGACTTATCACTGTAAGCACCTCCTTACACCTGCTTTTCTCGTGGGTCCCTGCAAAGTTGACCAGCTTTTTTTTGGCCTTGAACATCAAAAACAGTTGGAAGGAAAACAGCATCTATTTAGTCAACATTTCCAGTGTTGGAAGACTATGTCAGATTAACTTTTTTTTTCTTTTTCTTTTTTTTTTTTTTTTTTTTTTTTTGAGACAGAGTCTCGCTCTGTTGCCGAGGCTGGAGTGCAGTGGTGTGATCTCGGCTCACTGCAAGCTCCACCTCCCTGCAACCCCTGCCTCCTGGGTTCAAGGGATTCTCCTGCCTCAGCCTCCTGAGTGGCTGGGACTACAAGTGCATGCCAGTACACCAGGCTTATTTTTATTTATTTTTTTTTTTTTGTATTTTTAGTAGAGACAGGGTTTCACCATGTTGGTCAGGCTGGTCTTGAACTCCTCGTCTCATGCGGTCCACCTGCCTCGACCTCCCAAAGTGCTGGGATTACAGGCGTGAGCCCCTGCATCTGGCCAAAACAATTTTTTTTTTCTTAAACTGAGTATGTGTTTTCAGGGCAGTGGACACTGTCAAATGTGGAGAGTGTTACTTGTAGCCGTTTTGAGGTTGATCAGGCTTGCCTCAGCTCTCAGTTGTCCACTGTACCCTAAGGAGGGTTTCCAAAGAAACATTGCATCCCTTGGGCAAGCACACGTGGCGTATTTTTTTCTATGTTTAATCATTTGACTTTCCAGGTGCTCAGGGTGTGCTAGGCACTCATGGGCGGAGCAGTCTGAAGGCGGCCTCTCTTGAGTTTGCTCAGTGATACAGTGCTCTGGAGAGAGCACTGGTTTGGGGTTCTGGGCGCAGGGTCTGGGTCCCAAGCTCCGTCACTTTCCAGCTGTATTGCTTCAGTCTAATAATGTGATTTGTCACATATAAAATGGAAGTGACCGTGCCTGTCTCCATGCATGTGAAGAACCTGGTGTACAGTGTCTGCCAAAAGAAACGGCTTTGAACATAAAATTAGGGAGCAGTGTCCTATTCAGCCCCAAAATAAAACTTTTATGTGCTTTATCGTTTTTAGTAGCTTTTACTTTTTTCCCTTAATTCTGAAACATCAGGCCAACCCCTGCTGTGGATCAACAAAACCCCCCAGTTGAGAGTATTATAAAAAATAATGCGTGATTATTAATGAGAACCACCCCAAGTCCCTGTGGGTCCACTGGATTTCTTTTATTTTCCTTTGGTTTTGTAGGTTGGAGTTTGGTTTGTTTTTGTTTTTAAATTCTCTCTTGTAATGACACCATAGCCTTATCTTTTTACTGCATGAATAAGAATCTTTTTTTTTTTTTTTTTTTTTTGAGACAGAGTTTTGCTCTCATTGCCCAAGCTGGAGTGCAATGGCGTGGTCTCAACTCACTGCAACCTCCACCTCGTTGGTTGATCAAGTGATTCTCTTGTCTCAGTCTCCCAAGTACCTGGGATTACAGCTGCCTGCCACCACACCCAGCTGATTTTCATACTTTTTGTAGAGACAGGGTTTCACTATGTTGGTCAGGCTGGTCTTCAAGTCCTGACTTCAGGTGGTCCATCTGTCTTGGCCTCCCAAAATGCTGGGATTACAGGTATGAGCCACCATGCCTAGCCAATGTTTTCTCTCTCGGTTTTTAGGGAACATATAGGAACTGTGGTGTACAGTCTCTGTATGGAAAAATAATTGTGCTGATTTTTGTGAAGATGTCCTTGTACACTAGGAAATAGCATTCTGAATAATTTACCTAAGTATATTCTGTGATTTTGACATCTCTGTCTACATACATGATGCAAATCTGAATAAACCACAATTCATTTAATAAAAATTGTATGAAATTTCTGTTTAAAAAAAAATTTATTTTTAGCCCTATAGTATAAAATCTGAAAGGTAGCAAAAAGTATATTGCGAAACACAAATTTCATTTCCATCCCCTATGACTTTTGGTTTTAAGTTAGAGAAACCAGTTAGGCACAGATTACTAGGTGTACACTTGCAAATTTGAGCAAAAATGGGTAATGTGACTTTTATGGTATAGCTTCTTTGTATAGTCACCTTTTGGAGCCAGTGTTTCCATGGCATTTGAGTTGCCGGATTTCCCCATCCATGTGTTTTTCATTTTCCAGTTGCAGCATGAGAAAGCCGAACTAGAACAGCATCTTGAACAAGAGCAGGAATTTCAGGTCAACAAACTGATGAAGAAAATTAAAAAACTGGAGAATGACACCATTTCTAAGCAACTTACATTAGAACAGGTAAGCACCTATAGCTCTTCCTTTACATTGTATTTTCTCGTTATCAGCTTGTTCTTTTAAGCTTTAAGATGCCTGGAGGAATTTAAGTGAAAAGTATTTTTCAGCTTTCTCTCCCCACAGTGGAGACTTCATTTCTGAAGTGAGCATTGACAGGTTTACACAGTTCCTATCGTTCTCTCACACATTTTCTCTTAACCACAATTAATAAAGTTTCAGGAGATAAGTTCTGATGTACTGATTTATAGCAGGAAATGTCAGGTTCCTTTTTGCAACGCAAAGGGAGAAGAATGTTTTTGACCACAGGATAGTTTCTGTGAAAGTTTCTAAGACAGTTTTGCTGTGGAACTAAAACTGGTCTTTCAAAACTTCTTCAGAATAAACAATTAACATTTTCCTCTTTGAATGATTGGCAACCTTACAGGAGCCTTCTCTTCTCCCAGTCTAGACTTGTTAGTACAGAGATGGGGTCATAGACTCGGTAACTCACCTTGAGTCAGCCACTGACTGGTTCTGTGACCTTATATTAACTTTATTAATTTCTCTGGGCTCAAGTTCTCCATTTGTAAACAGAGCAGGACAGACTAAAACCAGAAATGGCAAACTTAACAAGGTACAAAGGTAGGAAGTAGTAATAGCATACAATCCCTTTGTCCTCTGCCCTCAGCAGGCGTTGGTGTTGGGACATTGGCCTTGGGAGTTCGGACTTGGTCTGTATACCCCGTTATCACACAGAACTCTGGGTAGCTATTGTCACTCCATTCAGGGTGTGTCAGACTATATTATTGCTAGCCTCAGTGTTCCCCAATGCCTTTTCCCATGCTAGCATCCTGAAATTTTAGTTCCCCTAAGTTATAAGAGGCTGATGCTAGTGTACTGCTACCTGGGTTTCCATGTAAAATGCAGTAGATGAAGATCTTCCAGCTGTTTGTATTTTAGATCCTGATTGCCCTGATTAGGCTAAGCCTCATTAAAGTTGTCTGATTTATCTCACACTCAGGATTTTCCCTGTGCCCCTTACTCCATGTTGACTCATTCCATCAGCCACTCTCAGGACCGCTCTAGTTTGAATATTTTACCTGAGAATGAAACAGTGATTGTGCTCCAAGGTTTGAAGGGAAGTTAGAGTTTGTCTTAAAGTAAGACTTACTTTAGTTATTTCTGTTCTTTCTATTTTTACCTGTAGCAAAGCAGGGAATGGTACTGGGTTTTCTAACACTGAATGATGACCCTAAAAGTGTTTTCCTCTTTTCTGTGATGAAAGTTCAATTTTCAAGGGTTAGCTATTTTGTACATATCTAGAGTAATTTATTCTTATCATTCATCTTCCAAATTTAAATGCAGTGTCTAAATTAATAATCAGACACCATGCCCCGTGCCCCCCCAGTTTAAAAACATTTTGTTCTGAGGTTCACCCGTTTAATTCTCAGGGTAGACAGTAACTTCAGTTCTGTTCAAGTTAAGCTTCCAAGGTTTGTGTTTAAGTCCCTGACACACCAAGTATTTACTTGTTGATGAAGAGTTAACCAAGTGACCAAGTGAAGTTCTCACAGAAGTTGGTATTAGGAGAGCTTTGCCTGGCCGTGCCCTTCACAATGATGGTTGTCAATATTTTAAATATAATAACTTCTCTCTGGTGTTTGTTCACAGGCTCCTAAAGGAGAGTTTGAAACTGGGGTTGTGACCCAGAGGGTTTAGCTATGGCCACAAGGGGGAGGTAGTGGCCTAGTGTTAGAAAGAAGGGCTGTCTCATCCTAGTGTTCCTGGGAAAAAGTCCTGCCTTCCTGTCTGAAGACCCTTTGTAGACTTTAGTAGCTGAACCCCTTTAAAATGAAATCTGAAGCATTCATTCTGTTTACCAAGCTAATAACAGTGACCTTTAGGCTTATTTCAGTCCTTGATAGTAAAGAAATAGATTTCCACAATAAAATATATGTAATGCAAAGCCCATTCTAGAAGTAAGCCTCAGATCCAGCATATGAAGCCTGTGTTTTAATTAAAGTGGAAAAATTTAACATTGTAATAAACATTTCCCCTATTTTGCTTTGGATATTACTGGGGTAATTAAATGTGTTTTGTTTGACTATAAATAATTTTAATCAGCGTTTAAGGGGCATGTTTGGTTTTTCCCTCTAATAGAAATCTCTTAGTTTCCATGGATATAATCTGACCAGCCCTTGAGGCCGTCTCTTGGAACTATCATCTGTATTGTATGATATGATGTAGTATGTGTTATAGTCTATATTATATTATACAGGATATCCTATACTCTATATTATTGTCAGAAGAGCAAAGGCATGCACTACGCTATGCATTATCATGATTGACATGTAGTTTATGCCTTTGCTTTACTGACAATCAGTGCTTTTAAACTTTAAGCCACTTGAAGGCAGTTATCATGTATGCTCCCACATGTCCTACTGCTTTGTCAGATCAGTGGTAAGTGTAGGTTTGGGCATGTGAATGGTGAGTGGTCCTCTGCCTCTGTATTTTAGAAGGCAGCACAGGCTAGTGTTCAGGGCCTGGGCACTGACTTCAAAGCAACCAGGTGTGAACCCGTTCCCTCTACTTAACAATCCTTTCACCAGTTCACTTTCTTTTTAACAGCTCTAGGGAGATGTAATTTACATATCCTACAATTCTCCCACTTAAAAGGTACAACCCAGTGGTTTCTAGTATATTCAGAGTTGTGCAACCATCACCACAATCAATTCTAGGACATTGTCTTGAACTCAGAATGAAACCCCGTACCGTTCATCTGTCACCTCTAATCCCTTATAACCTCTAAGCAACTGCTGTTCTACTTTCTGTCTGTGTATTTGCCTATTCTGGACATTTCATATGAATAGAATCATATATGTGGTCTTTTGTGATTGACTTCTTTCATTTACCATAATGTTTTCATCCCTGTTGTATCTGTACTGCTTCTTTTTTTCTGGCTAAATAATCATCTGTTGTATAGACATACCACATTCATCAATTATCCGTTTGTCATGTGATGGACATTTAGGTTGTTTCCATCTTTTAGTTATTACAAAGAATGCTGCTGTGAACATTCACGTATAATTTTTTTGTGTGGACATATGTTTTCATTTTTCTTAGTCATATGCCAAGGAGTGAAATTGCCGGGTCACATGGTAACTCTCCTTAAAATTGTGCACCCAAAATGTAATTTTAAAATAATCCATACTTTGCATGTAGTGGGTTGAACCTGCAGAAGGGGTATTGGAAAGCATCCTGCCAGAGATTTGAGTTGGTTACAACGTGTTTGTTTTGAAAGTAGAGCTTGGATTATCATGGTTTCTGAGTAGGCTCCTTCCTGTTCTCTGTAAAGCAGAACTTAACTGGGCTGAGTTTCTTCCTAGGTAGACCCCAGTTAACTCACGTGTCAGCAGGGCCTCATTGTTAAGTTTATCTCACTGAAAGTTAGTCCTTTGGTATGGACACTTCATTTAGTCAGATACCATTCATTCTTTTCTTAGGCCTCGAATCTGGAATTCTCTTATTTTCAAACAGGGAAGGTTAACAGCTATATCATTAAGGTCTCTGGGCTATAAATGGTTCTGTTGGTGTTTTGCAGTATTATAATTCACAGAATTCTGGAACCAGAAGTCCATGATATGGGGAAGACTACCTTTGTCCCCAGATGCTAGTGGGGACATGAGACAGTGGGAAAATCACGAATAAATCCAGGGGTAGGGACATCAGCTCTGCTCTTAGAATTTGGGACAACAGGCTCTTATTCTCATTTCGTCTCCCTCCAGAGTTTGCTGCAGAGTTGGGCTTGGTGGGAATCACTGCTCAGTGATAGATCAGTTTGGCCTGTGAGTGGCCCAGCTTGCTCATGCTCCCTTCTCAGAAATGGAAACCCAGAGAGAGATCGGGCAGGTTTCTCAAGCTGCACAGCTAATGAGTGGCAAACGTGGTCCCCTCGTTCTCGTCCTAGTGGTCTTTTAGATCCTGGAAAGACTTTTTTTTTTTTTTTTTTTTGCCTTTTAAAAAAATTTTACTGTAAGTTTTGGGATACACATACAGAACGTGCAGGTTTGTTACATAGTTGTATGTGTGCTATGGTGGTTTGCTGCACCTATTGACCCATCAAATACATTCCCTCCCCTTGCCTCCCACCCCCAACAGGTCCTGGTGTGTGTTGTTCCCTTCTCTGTGTCTATGGGTTCTCATTGTTCAACTCCCTCTTATGAGTAAGAACATATGGTGTTTGGCTTTCTGTTCCTGTGTTAGTTTGCTGAGGATGACTGTGGAGAAATAGGAGTGCTTTTATGCTGTTGGTGGGAGTGTAAATTAGTTCAACCATTGTGGAAGACAGTATAGTGATTCCTTAAGGATCTAGAACCAGAAATCCCATTTGACCCAGCAATCCCATTACTTGGTATATACCCAAAGAAATATAAATCATGCTACTATAAAGACACATACACATGTATGTTTATTGCAGAACTATTTACCATAGCAAAGTCATGGAACCAACCCAAATGCCCATCAACAATAGACTGGAGAAAGAAAATGTGGTACATATACATCATGGAATACTATGCAGCCATGAAAAAAGAATGAGATCATGTCCTTTGCAGGGACATGGATGAAGCTGGAAGCCATCATCCTCAGACCCTGGAAAGACTTTAGCCTTTGCAAAAGTAAAGGCAATGTCATCTTTTTTTATATTTCAAAGAACTCTGATGCTTTCCTGTTCAAACAGCCTGCATTAGTTCTTAATCATTTATTTTAGTTACCTTTTTGTCATTTATTTAGCATTTAAATGCGTGATGCCAAAAGTCAATTTATAAGCAGATGTAAAAAAAACATATTCAGAATCATGTAAAATTGTGTGGTCTTTGTAGCACACAGTATTAGACTAGTAAATTGGATTCATCTAGTCAACATGACTTTAATGATACTGGGGTTTTCTAAACAAACACTGGTGGCCAGTGCCTGTAAACCCTGACTTGAAGATTTTTCTTCAAACGCAGTCACTATACATCTCT